ACTACAATAGCATCTGACTTAGAGTGTAGTAAGAAAATCCAAGTGTACCTGGTATAATCATCAACTATGGTGACAAAATACCTCTTACCATAATGTGTGAGCACTCTATATGGTCCCCATTTGTCATAGTGAACTAATTGAAAGGCAGATTTTGTAGTAGTATTACTTAGCTGAAAAGGCAACTTGGTTTGTTTGGCCACAGGACAAATAATGCAGTGGTGAAGATCAACTGCTGTCAGTCTACTTAATGCCTCTACTTTTTTTTTATATATCTATAGGAGAATGTCCTAACCTCTTATGCCAATAAATTGCTAGAAACAGAAATACAAGAAGAAGCTGACATATTATTTACTGTATTAACACACTTATTTGTTGCCTGATATAAGTCTTGTTTTGAGGTGCCTCCTTGCAGAATGTACAACCCATGTTCTTCTCTACCAATCCCCTTCACCTGACCACTGAAAGAGGTCCTGAAAATTATAGAAGTCAGGGAAGAATCCAACTATACACTTGAGCTTGTTAGTGAGTTTTGAAACTGACAGTAAGTTGAACTTAAAGCCAGGAATATGTAGAACATTAGAGATCTCCTGATTACTTAATACAAAAGCATATTGTGTGTGACACTGTCACAACATTTTCAGTAGGCAAATGTACTTTGTTCTATTTTGTGTTTGGAAGTGGTCTATAAGTGTGCAACATCTCTAAACTTGAAGTCATGTGGTTTGAAGACCCAATGTCAACTATCCACTTACTATTGACACAATGAGACATAAAAGTATTCACATGATTTAGAATACCTACAGCAGCCGCCGCCTTGCTAGATGAATCTGATCCTTCTAAACTTCTTTTAGAGAGCAGATGAATAATTTGTTGATATTGCTCAGGAGTAAAAATAGGAATTTGAGGTAGCATCTGTTGGAAGAAAGTAGGTTGACTCATTTGTTATGCTACACCTGAGTTAGATGATCCACTTCCTCTATATTGTTGATTGCCAGCACGTGTCATATTAGTAATCATATTACATCTCTCTCCACAAGTAACTCCTGCATTGCCTGCATAATTTGCATAATGTACAGGGCTGACTCCTTTTCTTTTGGCCTTGAAGTTAGGGGGATATCCAATCAATTTGTAATAATTTTCTTTTGTATGTCCCTTATAGTGACAATATTCACACTTAACTTGGCTCATTTTGGACTTATAACTCCCGGCATTGCTCACATTTTTACTGTTGTACAAGGATGTACTCTCCAAAGCCTCAGTAACCTGAGCAACTTGTGTTGTGCTTTGCGAGATTTCTTTGGTTTTCCTGATCTACTAATAAAGAATAAGCTTTGTTTATGCTCGGAAGAGGATACATCATCATGATCTTACTCCTTGATTGAGAGTAGGATACATTCAACCCAGTGAGAAACTGAAGAAGCCTTTGATACTCAAAGTGTTGAGCATACTTCTTCGACTCAGGACAAAGACAACCAGGACAAGGCATGAGGGTATCAAACTCATCCCACAACTCTCTAAGCTTTGAAAAATAGTCAGTTACAGTCATAGTTCCTTGGGTCACTGTGTAAACTTCCCTGTGCAAATACAGAATTCTCGAGCCATTTACTTTATCAAACCTCTCTTTCAAATCCTCACAAACCTTATGAGCACTAGATTCATACAAGACACTACTCAACAACCCTGGCCTCACAGCATTCATTATCCATGAAAGGACTATAGCATTAACTTTCTCTCACATATCATGAAGCTCAGGCTCAAATTTAGACTTAGAAAATCTACTATCGACCAAACCTAATTTACTATTACCTAGCAAGACAAATCTCATTGCATGACTCCACAAGGCATAGTTATTTGATCCAGTAAATTAAAGAGAGATCAGAGAACTACGTGGCATATCTGTTGGTTGTAGGTACAAAGGATGATTATGATCGATAGAAGAAAATGTAGTAGTGCCAGTCGTGAAATTGCCATAAGTAGAAGTTGTAGCAGTGTGAATAGGAGTAGTATTGTTGAGTTATTCATCTCCAATTGCCATTGTTGGCTGAGAAACGGCTTCAGAAGAAACAGCTCACAAACCCTAGCTTCAATCAAAGGTTACTCTAAGTCAATTTAGCACTCAATTGGAGAATTTAAGTAACAGAGAAGACGAGATTTGTTTGCAAATCAGCTTAGATTCGAACCGGTGGCTCTGATACCATATTAGCTGCCATGGATATGGAAATCGAAACTAAGAAGAACTATCTAGAAGAAGAGGAAATTAGAGAAGAATAACTTCCATTTTTATTTCTGCAAAAAGTGTATCTCCGTACAGTGAAGGACACTATTTAAATTAACTAACTTTTCTAACAGACTAACAGACTTTACTAACTACTAACTAACTGGCTTTCTAACTCTAGTTAATATTACATTAAATTTTACCATAGTTAACTATCAGCTTGTTGCTTAGCTGCCGATCAACATAATTAAGATAGATTATCAAAGTGGGGTGTGGTGACTGAGCTAATTTGTCCTCTGTGTGACACATGCTGAAACCATTGAGCATATATTTTTTAAGTACAACTTCCTTGCTGCCCTATGGTGAAAATGCTCACATGGATGGAAATAAAAAGAGGGTGAATGGGATGGAATCAAGAACTGGCCTGGACAGTTAAGAATGCAAATTGAAAGGATACTAAAGTTGGAATCTACATATTAACAATGAAAGGATGTGTGTACTACTTGTGGCAAGAGCGGAACTTAAAAATCTTCCAAAAAATGCCGAGAAGTGTTGAAGTTTTAAGCAGATTAATAACACACGATGTTCATTGCAGGGAACAGTGGGATCGAAAACTTGCGGGACAATTGAGAAGGATGAAGTTCTTTCCTTCGTTTAAATTCTATCTACTTTTATAAACAAGGGGAAAGGGAGGAAGTGGAGATGAATGTACAAAGTTGGGGCTGTCCAACTTTATGGGATTTGTTTTGCTGGTATATATTTTTTCCCTTGGTAAATAATATNAAAATACAAAATGACACTCAATGCTATTTACTATAGCCTAAGGTTGTAACTAAAGGAAAACATTTGTTTCTTTTGATGACAATTAAAGTGAAAGCTTTTCTAATAAAAGCTCAAAATACTAGTAATATATGATCAAATTCATTCATTATGTATACCCTGCCAAATCAAAGCCAAAATAACAATTTCAAACTTTTTCCATTAATAAAGCTTGCAAGTGACCTCAAGCAAATTTTCTTGAAGCCACTTTCCCCTATATAAAATAAAGGATACTATAGGAAAAATTTGAGTCGAAGGTCTTCGAAAACAATCTCTCTAACTCTATATGGTAGGGATAAGATCTCCGTACACATTACCATTTTCAAATCCTACTTGTGACATTACATTAATTATATTGTTGTTATTTTTGTTGTTATAGAAAGAATTAATAGGAGGTGAAGGAATTTTAGTAGTCTAGTTTAACATTAACTTAGCTGCTGACGATTCGAATTTCCACGTTACAATTTTTTATCCAATTATCCCTTTCCCTCCTCCCTATGTATAATAGAAAAATATTAACAAAAAATAATAGGATTGACAATAGCATTAAAAAAAGGGCAAAGGGCCAAATATACCCCTCTATTTTCGCAAATGGTCTAAGAATATCCCACATTATACTATTGGGTTATTATACCCCTGCAGTCATACTTTGGGTTCAAATGTATCCCTCATTTAAACGGAAGAACACGTGTGATCGTCCTGTTGGTCAATTCTAAATATCTCCTAATTAATTAAAAAGACCTATTATCCATGCCCGAAATTTTTTTTTTTGGGTATAAACTGGAAAAAACTAAAAATATATTTTTACTAAAAACTGAAAAAAACGAAAATATTTTTTTTCATGTTTTTACAAAAAACTGCTTTAAAAAAACTAAAAACTATTTTCTAAAATAATATTTTTGTAAAAACTAAAAAAAAAATTGAAAAATAATTTTCTAAAGCAATTAAAACTGAAAAAAACTGAAATATTTTTAACTAAAAACTGAAAAAAAAAACATTTGTTTTATCAGTTTTTACAAAAACACTACTTTAAAATTTTGCTTTTTAGTTTTTTTTTCAGTTTTTACAAAAATATTATTTTAGAAAATATTTTTCAGCTTTTTTTAAAGCAGTTTTTTTGTAAAAACTGGAAAAAATATATTTTCGTTTTTTTTTCTTCCAGTTTTTAGTAAAAAATATTTCAGTTTTTATAAAAAAATATTGCTTTTAGAAAATTAATTTTCAGCTTTTTTCTTTTCTATTTTTTTAAAAACATTGTTTTAGAAAATATTTTTCAGCTTTTTTTAAAGCAGTTTTTTTGTAAAAACTGGAAAAAATATATTTTCGTTTTTTTTTCTTCCAGTTTTTAGTAAAAAATATTTCAGTTTTTATAAAAAAATATTGCTTTTAGAAAATTAATTTTCAGCTTTTTTCTTTTCTATTTTTTTAAAAACATTGTTTTAGAAAATATTTTTCAGTTTTTTCTAAAGCAATTTTTTTGTAAAAACTAATTTTTTGTTTTTTTTCAGTTTTTAGTAAAAATAATTTCAGTTTTTTTCAGTTTTTATATAAAAAAAATTGCTTTAAAAATTGCTTTTCGGGTATGATTAATGAGTTAGAATTAACCAACAGGACGATGACACGTGTCCCTCCGTTTAAATGAGGGGTATATTTGAACCCAAAGTATGACTGCAGGGGTATAGATAACCCAATAGTATAACGAGGGCTTTTCTTAGACAATTTTTAAAAATAAAAAGGTATATTTGGCCCTTTGATGTTAAAAAAACCCGTATCTGTTCCATGTGATCAAGAATTGAAATCATTGAATCAAAATCGACAACACAGTCTTTGACTTGTTAAGCCAAACAGATAAGCTACACAGTGCATTCAATGTTGACAGCAAACGTTAAATAAATTCAATAACCGCATAGCATTGAATTGGTCATATTAAAGAAGAACCAAACGTTTAGCCGTTCTACAAAATATGGAAAACAAAATACTAATCAATTTCAAGAATAATTTGTAGGCAAAGGAGACAAATTTAACGAGATAAAATAAATCTAATTTATTCTCTCACCACAGAAATAAATTTACATAAAAGAATTACTACAAAATAGGGAGATGAATTTATACAAGGTGTATTCTAACAAGGAATTTGCTCAGTAAACCACTTCATAACCGAAAAGGGTGCTTTGATTAATCCCAAAGCCAGCTCTACCAATACTGTTACGCAAATACAGCATGGACATATGCAACTCAAGATAATTCTGCAAAAAATAAAAGAATAATAATTAATACAGAAATCTTGGTTTATTTATACCCAAATCAAGAAGAATTATATCAAAAATAAGTTATAAATAGTTAATCTTGTATTTGTTCACTAATCACTATATTAAACACCTCTAGTTAGTGGTGGAGCCAAAAGAATTCCAAGAAAACAAATTGCAAGAATATCACACTTAGAATTTAAACTTGTAACTTTAAAGTAATTCTTGAATGACCTTTGTTGTTGCACTAAAAGTTCCTTTATGTCATGAAAATTCAGCAATTCATATACATAAGAAAAAGGAAGCCTGGTTCACAAAACATAACATGTTTAAGGGATACGATGTACACAGCCTACCCTAATACAAGTATTTAGTGACGGACGGCTCGAATTCGTAACCTCACGCGAAAACAACAACTTTACTTTTTGGAACTGCCCTTCAATTCATTTACAAACATAGTTTAATTTATTTTTATTTACACATTATAATTTTATGACGAACTAGATCTAATTCTAACTTTGATCAAATGGAAGAAAATTAGATGGAAAGAGGAGAGAAATTGAACTTACCCAACAATCCAAATAACAACACCAACGATGGAGAGGAGAAGGGCGACAAAGGCAAAAGGAAGACCCAATAGAAAACCTAAAGGACGACATTGACAATCATCTCCACAA